GCATGAAACTGAAGCCTGAAGTCATCAAGACAAAGCTTGGAGCAGCATCTATCTCATCCTTGCCTTCACTGTAGCCTTGGTGACAGCACTTGAAGTAGACATCAGAAGGCCTGGATCAATTTGTTCAGCTCCAGAGGCTAAAATGACCTCTACTCAGGGCACTAATGCCTGGCATGGGTGTTGTTCTAGGTCATGTCTACGCGCTGGGATCAAGGGCTTCAAACCAGGGTGGCACCTCCTGAGCTTCACCAATTCAGACACGGGGTGGCTAAAGAAGCTTCCAGCTCCTGTTTTCCAGTTGGATGGACGGTGTGTGCACAAATGAGCCCCTGATGTTCAACAGATTTATTACACTCCACCTTAATACATCAAGCCAGGAGCTCAGGGGAGGTTGTAACTAATTCAGCCACCTCATGTGGCTAATTACACTGTGGCTCTCACGAAGCTCTGCTTTGCTTGCAGTATGAAGCGCCCTTGGACAGGTTTGTGTTGGTTGGGAAGATGTGAGCTGTGGCAGCTGAGCTGCTGATTATGGGGAGAAAAGGGAAAAGATTTGTCAATCAGTCAACTCCAGATTTCTTTAGGGAATAAACTGGGCAGCATCTGCCCTCTGGTGAGGAAGGACAAGAGCCTAATTTAGATTTACAAAGCTGAGCAGTGAAACCAAAGCTATCTTTGGCAAACAAACCTGTCTGGAGAGACATGCTTCTGTGCTTCAATTTAAAAATCCATCTTCTTGGATCTCAAGAGAAGCAAAAGCTGCCTTCTTGCTCTTCAGGAGCTCTTTACATTGAAGTCTGGCATTTACAAATGAGGTGTAGAAGCTCATCTGATTTGTAGCATGAGGTCTTTAATAGTTATAGAGCTGGAAGTCTTAATGGCACCATGACTTGCTGCTTTGCTTCCTTTCTGTTTTCAATGGTTGGCTCACTTTGTTTTAACACAGTTTTGTCTGCTCACTGTGAGCACTTTGGGATGGAAACTAGTCCTGAAAGGAATCAGGTGGGTGATGCAGCTTTGGAGCATCTCACGTCAGATGCATTGCTCATCACCAGTGGAGAGCTGTTTTCTTGCTGTGGATGCAGTAGGTGTTGTAAAGCCGTGGCAATGCCTTTGTCCCCAGAGTCTATTTACTGCCATGAGGATGCTCCAGGAGATAATAAAGTATTGTATGAAACCCCATCTAGTCCACAGCCAAATTCCAAGAAGAAGCCTGGGAGAGTCCTGGGCTTATAACTGTAGTTACTGCTTTGGGAATAGTCATTGCTACACTTTTTCTCTGTTATTCTTAGTCCCATTCAGGAGTCTCATCTTCCTGCATGGCCCAAAGTCTCTTACATGGTAAAAACGTTTGATTTAGTTCAAAACATCTTTCCAAGTCTTCTGGCACTTCACAGACAAGCTGAAATAAATATAACTAATTCTGAGTGCCTGTTGTGAGGCCAGCAGTACCTTGCAGGTTTCCCCAGAGGCAGATCCAGCCTCCTCTTCTGGGAAACAGCTTTGCACATCCCTCTGCTCTGCTCATCTCGGTGCACGTTTCACTGACGGGAGATCTCTGCCCCTTCTTAGGGGTTTTCTTCCTACTGCTTTTGCTCCTCCTGAAGTCTCTGTTGATGACAAAGCAGATAGGAACAGGACAGAGAAATCTTTATCCCAGGAGCAGAGACAAGGCAAAAATTGGATCACCTTTGAATGTAAAGATGGTTTTTCTTCAGTATTCCATTAACTGTCTTTGCCCCCGGTGTCAAGCCCAAACAGGGAACGGGTAAGGAGACATTGTCATTATTATGTCCCATTTCTGTAGATTCAAACATGCAGATGACATTTTACGAGGTAAACAGAGCCAAGGGCATGCCCTGGAGAGCTGGCACTGACATCCAAGGCAAGATCATGGCCAGGGAGAGCAAAGTCAAAGGGAACCTGCACTCTAGTCTTCCCTGTTAGTGCAGTGTGCTGCTGCCTCCCTGAGCGCCTGAATTCATTCCAGAGTGAGCAAGCGATGGCAGGAGAGGGGCCTCAGGCACAGTTTAGATGCAGGCACCCAACTCCCAGGGACCTTCAAACCCCTTCTGTCAGTGCCATTTATAGGATAAAAATTATTTGGGAAGGGGATAAAATGGGGAAGAGATTTGCAGGAGTACGGGATGCAAGACGGTGGATTCAAGATTCTTGCAAAAGCATGGAATTCTGCTAAATGACCCGAAACACTTGAAACTCAGCTTGTTACTGGCTTGCCTTCATTCCAAGGATAAGTCTGTGAGTTCATTGAAACCCTTGAGGAAAACACTGCCTGAGTTCTGTTTCATTCAATAGAGAGGATGTTTGCATTCAGCTTTTTGTGAACATCTGGATTACCCAAATTATCCATGTCTTTTTCAAACAAAGGAAGATAATAATAATGAGGAGGCTCAGGCTGGAGTTGCAGCTCTTTCCCACAATAAAAAATCATTAAAACCTTTAAATGGCATCTTTTGTCCCAGCCAGGCTGAGTCTCTTGCACATGTACCAGTGGGACAGGATTCCTTCCAAATACACACAGGAGCTGATGGAAATCTTGTTATGGCCCAATGATGCAGAAAGAAACTGGCAGTGAGATTTAACAAGGTCACTTCAAGGCACAGAAACCTCTGTAAAATATGCTCCTTCCCCACATCATATAGAAACAGAGCCAGAGAGGTGAGGGATAAACCTTTCACTGATGGGAAATGGTGATTTATGATTAATTTCCAAAAGAAGGAAATCCTTTTTTAATCAAGATTATTTATAGGGTTAATCCAAAGGCAGTATTTGCTCGCCAGCATCCCTGCTCACCAGCACAGAAACTGAGGTAAGGTGAAGATAGGCTTTGTCCATGGGATTTGGATCAGCTTTGTGCAGGAGGGCTTGTAGTCAAGGATACCTGTGTTATTTATGGCCCAGGTTTTCAACAGGGAGTAGCTCGTCTTGCATCCCTTGGGTCTGGTCGCCCAACGAGTGACCTGTGCAGATTATCAACCTCCTTGAAAAATGGCCTTTTAGAAATCCCATTTCCCACCATGAGCCTTTGTGAATGTGTAAGATTTGTTGTATCTGGTGCTTGTTGCTGGAACCAAACAGGCTGAACCCCAGATTCCCCTGTTTAATGCTGCTGGGTCTGAACAGAGCAGTGCTGGAACCAGCGAGGTACAGAGGTACGTGCAAGCTGCTGGGATGTCCATCCTGCTCCATAGTTCATGAAGCAAAAAGGTTTGAAGAAATAGGTTTCTCTGTTTGCTGCATGGATGTTTGGGAATGTGCGGTTGCCATGTGTGACTCAGTGATGATGGATTTACCCTGATGAAGGAGCAATTGCCCTTCTGCTACCCTATTGCTGGCTGTGGAAAGGATCTGTGCTCAGTGCTGCGCATCCTGGCTTTCAGGATATAACCTGTGCTTCAGCTTTAAGTTAATTTGATCTCACGTCTGCTGTTTATTAATACTGGATGCATTGTGGACTTCTATAGCATGTCACAAGTGCTTAGGTGCTGCAGTGAGGGTCAGGACACTGAAAGAAAGGCAGACAAACCATACAGGCATCCATATACCAACTGGAATATATGGTAGGGTTTGTCATTTGAAAGGCTGACAACTGTTGAGGAAAAGATAAGAAAAGACAAGATAAACTGGATTTGATACTACACTGATGTTATTTATCATTTCACTACAGACCTAATTTCTCTTGTGGCTTTAATCCTCCCCATTTTCAGCCAGTAATCTATTATATTGGAAGGTATTTGAGATGCTTCTGGAGTAGGGAAATTATTAAGTGTTGTTAGAACAGACATTGATTAATTTTGCAGCGGGCAACATTACCCCTGCCTGCAAACAAAACCCATTTGCTGTTCATATAGAAGTAATTGTGATAATATCAAAGCTAGTTTCAAAATGAAACAGAGAGGGCTCTACTCCATGTCTCCCTTGTGAGGAATCGGGGATGCGAGACGAAGGGCTGGAGTGCCAGTTTCTAACACATGGAATTACCTTTTCCTCCATAAAAAGTCTTCTTGACTTCGGGTTATCTGTGGCATATTTTAGGTACATTCAAGTACAGAGATACGTTCAAGCAACCTCTTGTCTCAGTCTCACCTTTGATTTGTATACTGCTTATGGGCTAATACTTGTATTTGTACAGCACCAAGCATAGCAGAGCCTGTTCTCACAGGCAGGTTCATCAGCCCAATAACTGTCAGCAGCAAAGATACGTGCTCAGGCCAGAATATAATCTCTAATGGCCCTGTTAGTGAAGAGGAGTGATTTTGAGAAGCACTTGGACATGATTAAATAGACAGCTTTCGTTAATTAAGCACTGTTTGGGCTTCAGGTGTTGTAAAGACCCCAGATGGCCCCATATCCACCACCTCTGGTTGCTGATGGGGTCTGCATCTCCCTCTTCTTATTTCTCATGCTCAAAGTTTTCCTCCCTGCAGCCTGTTTGCTGGAGTGCACAGATTCCCTCCTCCTCCTCCTCCTAAGCAGGAGGTGGGCAGGTCTAACTACATTAAATATACAAACATATTCCCTCTCTGCTCCACTGAGGGCTCGCATCAGTGGTCCAGCAGCAGCAAAAGCTGAGCAAAGGCTGCCCAAAGGGCTGGGGGAAGGGTGAGCACAGCAGCATTAGCAACAGATAAACCCAGCAGCCAAACCAGCCCGTAGGAAAGGGGAGAGGAGCAAGCAGCATAGCCCAGGGAGCCTCTGCATTTCGGGTCTCTTCATAGGAGCTTCCTGCAGCCCTTTTGCATCTCTTGCAAGTGTATGTGCAGTGGTGTCCCAGGAAGAGCATCCTTCAGGAGGAAGAGCTGGAAATCAGTCAGAAAAGAAAACCCAAACCAACCATCAGCTGTTATCCCTTCCCAGAAGTAGGTGAGAGGCAGGGAGAGGAAGGAGTTTAGGGGAATGAAGCTGGAGGATCCAGAGACTCCGAAAGGAAAAGTTGCCCTGGCAGGAGACGGTGCGTACTAGAGCCTGAGCTCTGCTCCACAATGGGATTTGTTGTATCTAAAGGAAACCTCCTCCTCTTCCTCTGTGCCAGCGTCTTCCCTGGTAAGTTTGAGAAAGCTTTTCTACCCCTTCCTCTGCTCTTTCATCCCTTATCCCTCTCAAAGGCATGCTGCAAAGACCGGTCCCTGTTACCACGGGATTTCCCCCTCTCCTGCCTGCTCCTGCCCCATCACTGCAGGTCCTCAAAATTCCAGCCTCTGCTGAGCAATGCTTTGCTTTTATTTTCTGATCTTTGCCTGGTTTGATGGGGAAAGGGTTAAAGCCACGGTGGGGAAGGGGACAGGAAGGAGAACACAGGCAGGGGCTCAGCATCCTGCTCCTTGCCTGGGTTTTTCTTCCCTGGGTAAAGTGTGTTAATGTGTCTCCGGGCTACAGCTCCGGCTGGGGAGAGCACAGCCAGCGCTCGGCTAATGCTTCCCTTTGTATAATCCAGGGCAGCTCAAGACTAAATAGGAGCCACATTCCACGAGGGATGAAGGAGAGCCCCCGGCTCCCTCTCCCCACTGTCCATGACAGAGGATGCATTTCCAACCCCCTGGAAGAAGGGTGGCTTTAATCTTTAATAACCGACAGGCACCTCTGATGATTCCTGTAGTTGTGCGTGCAGGGTCAGTTGTACATGCTGCTTCTTGCAGCCTCCAACTTTTCAAGTTATTACTGAGAAAACTGTGGTCTTGTTACCCAATTTGTGCTCTCTCCCATCCTTTCCCTTCCCCCATCATTTTTGTGAAAGACCAGCTATGAAGGTTAGTTTGAAGAGCTGAATTCCATCTGCCTTTTTTTTCTGATGCATTTGATGCTACTTTTTATGTGTAAATCTGATCCCAAATCCCAGTCTCCCAGTAGGAAGCTGCTTTTTCCTTTTTGGCTCACTCTTCCAACATCCCTCTTTCCCACTTGCAGACTTCAGTGCTAGAAACTTGCCTCGAAGTAGCCATAAAAATTAGACCAGATTCAGGGGAGGGTGGCCCATGTTGTGTTTTCAAGTGATATTATTAATGCCCCCACTTTCTTCAAACCAATCCTGCAATAGAAACCTTACATTGGGAATTGGCCACGGTGGGTGAACTGGGTGAGAAATCATAGAATCACAGAGTGGTTTGTGTGGGAAGGGACCTTAAAGCTCATCCAGCTCCAACCCCTGCCACGGGCAGGGACACCTTCCACTAGAGCAGGTTGCTCCAAGCCCCTGTGTCCAACCTGGCCTTGAACACTGCCAGGGATGGGGCAGCCACAGCTTCTCTGGGCACCCTGTGCCAGCGCCTCAGCACCCTCCCAGGGAAGAATTTCATCTTCTAATAAATGGCAATGCCTGGGTAGGGGGGAGGCGATTCATCAGTGTGATGTGTGACACCCTCCCTGTGTCCCCACTTACCCATCTCTGGGGTTAGCCCATGTTTCCTCCCCAGGGAAGGCTCCAGTTATGCCAGTTGGAGCTACATGTTTTACACCTCTGTGCCCCATCCCTTCCCCACAGCCTTGAGCCATGTGGAGACCCGGGCACACGCAGAGGAGCGTCTCCTGAAGAAGCTCTTCTCTGGGTATAACAAGTGGTCTCGCCCCGTCGCCAACATTTCAGACGTGGTCCTCGTCCGCTTCGGCTTGTCCATTGCCCAGCTCATCGATGTTGTAAGCGAAACTCATCTGGGTAACAGGCAGCCAAAATTAACTGGGCTGGGGCTTTGGGAGAGGCTCCTGATGCATGTGGGTTTTAGTGGCTGCTCCAGGGTTGGGCTGGGAAGAGTTTGGTTGGATTGGGAAGTGTTACCATGCAGACAACTCTGCTGGAATGAGGGATGACTTGTGTGAGTAGCTGGTCATTAAAGTGAATCCTTTATTCTTCATTTACTACAAGCAAAATCCCCAATTCCTTACAAAACCCTGTGGGACTGATCACAGCAGAGCTGTGGAGCAACTGGTGTAAATGACAGAGAGTCCTGGCTGAGGAGAAAACCCAAATAGCTGGTTTGGAATTTGAGCTATAATTATTAACACTAATTCACACAAGCTAACAGGAACAGTCGCTTACACACCTCTGGGTGGTAGCTTGCCTGAAGAGCTTTCTGCAAATTAAAGTTCTGGCGTTATTTTAACTAATCTGGCAGATAATAACAAGCAAATTGCTCCTGAATGTTTGTCTATATAGATGTTACACGTATGCAAACTGCATGTGCTACGTGCAAACCAGAGTGGTTCACACTGCAGACTGATGTGCAGTGAAATAGCATTTACAGGATTACTCTATCACAGTGTGTAGGGGTCAAGTGCTGAATCCAAAGGAGATCCCTTCAGGGCTACAGATGTTAAGCACCTTAACAGGCTTTCTAGCTGGTGCAGATCTTGCTCCCAGATGCTTCCCTCCCCTGTCCCTGCTTGCATGCAGTGCTTCCCAGGACAGCGTGTTTGTGTGGCAGAGTAAAAGGGGTGTGATAATGGGAAGTGTAATGCAACTTGGAGACGTTACTGGTGTGGGACAATCATAAGAGATGACTCCACAACATTCTGTATTTTGAGATAAGGGGTTTGAGATGCAGAGGACACAGAGTTGAGGTGGGAAATCAAAGGCACAAGCTGCTGGAGAGTCGCATCTCCTTGTGCACAAGCCATCAGCTTCCAGCTTTGCAGCACAGAAATGGTCTTCCATTCCCTCCCTCTCTCTTGCATCAGCCTGAGAGATCCAGAGCTGTTTGCAGTTGCTAATGTTGAAGTTGTACGGTTCTCATCTGAATAATTGATGAGACTAAAGATGAGACATTAGTGACTGTGGAGGCAGGAGGGAGACTTTCTATCATGCTGTGCTGGCCTGTGAAGACGGGGGATCAATATACCTGCTTCACAGTGCTTTCCCCAGCATACTTAAGATGAATTAGTCTAAAAGTCATGTCAGTGGTCAGAAGTGCATCTAACAGGCAGTGCTGGGCCAGGGCTGGTGGGTACAGAGCTCTCATCCCCACCTACCCCAGTCTGTGTGGTTGGAGACTGATGACACCACCACCACTGCACCACTTTGCTGTCCCTTCCCCATCCCAACAGTGGCACTGCTTTGGTATAAATCCCACTTCAATTGTTAGACCCAGCATTTGGCTCTGAATGAAAGAAGTCTGGAAGAGAAATCAGAGCTGTATTCAAGCCCCAGCTCCTGCTGACAAAAACTGTGGAACAAAAGTCAGTGTGGAGTTTGACATCCCTGTGTGTCCTCGCCTCACCCTGGTGTGCAGAAGGTTTTCTGAGCCCGCATAAGAGTGGTAAGGGATCAAGCATGTGCCTAGGAGCAGCCACTGTGAAACACATTTGGACTCCTAAGCCTGTATCTCTCTGCAGGACCTTGTGTGCTGTGTTCTTCTTGAGGGAAGAGGCCAGAGAGTGCAGCACCCCCGTTGGCTGCTGTCACCCACTGTGCTCTGGGCTGGCTCCGTGCAGGAGCAGTCAGCTGTGAAGCAGGAGCAGGCAGACAGTCATTAGCACATTGTAAACCCCCTATGGGATAAACCCAGGGCTCTAGAGTCGTGCTTTGTCGGGTCAGAAGGATGGCAGAGCCCTCAGGTGTAGTGATGGGCAGGAGTTTCTGGTCTGCTCCCTGCAAGGGAGGAATATTCCAGTGAAGGGGAGCAAGACTGGGATTCCCAGTGCAGGGACTGCAGTGAAGACCCTCAGATGCTTGAAAGTGGGAAGAGAATAGATGCTTAAGGATTGGTCCAGTCCAGGGCATGACAGACACATCCGATGACATTCCTCATCTCCCAGCAGCACCCAAGGATGTAGCTGGATATTTCCCCTTTCTTTGTTGCTCGTTTGACTGGGTTTTGTATTCCTTCCACATGCTTCTGGTCCCTAACCCTGGATGAGGGTCTCTCTGATCAGGTTTTACACCCGGTACCACAACAGCAGTGAGGGGGAGGCACATCTCCTGGCTTTTAGTGTTCACAATTAATCCTGAGCTGCCATAAGAGCAAGGTTAATGACAAGCAGTTTGCTTCCAAATGAGCCTTGTCAACTGAGCCAGTTTGGATGCCAACCAAAGAGAGATTGAAAAGAAGCAAACACACAAACCAGCTTTGAGCTCTGGTGTGACACTTAAATCAGACCAGTGCTAGGCTCTGCCCCATGTCATTCATCTTAGTGATTTACAGAGCGGTTGTAACAAGCATGTGAGGCAAGCAGAGAGCAGCAATTAATTGTACTACAGTCCTGTCAGCATTATATTTGCCTTACATTATTTAGAAGCATATATATATATATACACATATATATATTCTACCTTTCCATACTATTTGTACTTAGAGATGGAAAAAACTCTACCAACTGACAGCATGGGTATAGACCACTCTGTCCGAGGGGTAATGTCAGCAATGTAGCTTGGGTTTATTCAGAAAACCCAATTCATAGTGCTCTAAGTTGATATATTTGGTAGAAGGAGAATACTGCTGAGCTTCATGTTTCCAGAACTGTGTTCATGGATAACGTTTCACAGTAGAAATACTAAACACTCTTTGCAGGTGAAGCTGAGCATTGTAATCCATGCCTATGTGTGAGTAAGGATATATGCATCCATCATCCCCTTCCTTCAGTGCTCAGATCAAAGCCAAGCTGTGGAGCATTTTCCTCTGCCTGGCCCCATCGTCCCAGGCTGAATCCATCAGCATCAAGGAAAATCCCAATGAATTCATGTCTGTCTGCTCAGAGGATCACTTAGGTGCAGGCTCAGCTGTTCAGTGGCATCAGGCAGCTGTGCCCTGTCCCACGCTAAATGACAGAAACATCTGCTTTTTATTTCTAAGGTGGGACTTACATGTATTGCAGAAGTGATTTGTAATTACAGAAATGAAGTACAGGCAAGAGAAATGTAATGAGTTCCTTGGGAAGCTTCATCTGCTTCTGTAACCAGCCTCTGATCTTGCATTGCAGGATGAGAAAAACCAAATGATGACCACGAATGTGTGGGTGAAGCAGGTGGGTGCACCCAAATCTGTGCTTTCCCCTGTTCCTTTTCAGTTCTGCAGTGTGAACTTTGCCAGCTTTGTAACTGCCTCATCTTTGCAGGAGTGGCACGACTACAAGCTACGCTGGGACCCCCAGGAGTACGAAAACGTCACATCCATCCGAATCCCCTCTGAGCTCATCTGGAGGCCAGATATTGTCCTCTACAACAAGTAAGTGTCAAACCCACCCTTGCAAATTTCTCTGTTCATGGTGTTAAAGGTGCTTCTTGCAATTATTCCTACTTTTTTTGTTCTCTGTGGTTGAATTCCATGTAGATTCTCACAACACATGTCCCAGATGTCCCTTACATGACATGACTAACGTTTATTCCAAGGCCTTCATTCTCCTAATGATCCTTTCTCTGGACAGTGAGTTTTGTTGAGGGATGCCAGGTATTGTTCTCTCTTCACATGTCAGATGCACAATTAAGCTGGATTTGAGCTTTCTGTCCTCTTCAATTTCATTCCACTGAGGAGCTCTCCCCTAATTCATCACCATCAACTGGAAAAGCCAATTACTGAGCATGGGTTTAAATATGGAAAGTGTGCTGGGCCATGCCAGACTTGTGTGTTTGCAAATACAGTTTTCAGGTCAGCCCAACACCACTCTAGAATTAGTCTTAAGTAGATATTTGTTCCTGATCCGGAATGCTTGAAATCTGTCTCTTGTATGGACTTTTCCTAGGGAGCAGGGGGTTGTTTTCTTCTTTTCCTTTGGAGCCTGTTGATATTCTTAGAAAGATTGTCTGTCCAAGTGTCAAGACTGTTTTCTCCTTTGCTTATCATACCAGAGCTCTCCAGTCTCATTGGACATAGGATATCCCAGTCTCCTTCCCCAGCACAGGCTCCAGAGAAAACACTTACTGCCAGCATCAAACAAATTCATCTTTATATGTAGCTAACACTCAGAGAAAACTCTCACATCAGAAGCCAGGCTCATTTTTAATAGTTGCCTGGCTCTAGTTTGATATGAATTTGCTTTTGGTTTGAAAAGAAATATATATGGCTGAAAGAGGAATCTGTCCAGGGGACTGTGAGCTTTGAGACCGTGGAAATTGTTCTCTTTCCCATTAGCTTGTCCCTCATTTTCAGTGGTATGGAGTGATTGCAAACCTCTCGGAAATCACTGCATCCTCACACAGCACCTTTCAGAGATTAGACCAATGGAAATGACTAATTCATGGGCACTTGGACCTTGCTGAACTGCAGGGACACAACTCTCAGCATAAATATTGTATTACAAGTGCCTCAAATTGCAGCCAAGAAGGTGTTCACAGCTTCCTCTGGAAAAAACGAATGTCCTTGTCCTTCTTATTGCTTAATTAATGACAATGGTAAGGATTGGGGTTTTTTTGAGCCTACGATTGTTGTTGTGGTGGACCATAGTGCCAAAGGAAATAGTGCTACACAAATCTCCATCACCTATGGCACCTTTGTGCTTCAAGCCATCTACTTGCTGGAGTGACTGGTAGACAACAGCCTGATGTACCATGTCTGCATCTCCTCCCTTGGCTCACTGTGCTCAACATGGTTGATGAGCATGGTCCATGCACTAAAGGAGGCCTCAGCATCCTTTTGTGCTCTGGACATTTTGGGATTTATACTCTCAGAAAGCAGGTCCCAGAGGTCAATGTGCATCCAGGCCACAGAGCTGGGTAGCCTTTGGCTTATGCCCCTTGCATGCTCTGCCCCTCTGCTGTCCTAGTTCACTGCTGCTGTCAGTGGTTACTGCAGGGACTCCAGGGAGCATCTGCCTATCTGCTGGCCACGGCAGCTATTCCAGAATGTCATCCTTATCCTCTTCTTGGGCAGGAACCTTCCAGCCTTGCCCACCTTATTGCTTGGCTCAGTCTGATGTGCAGGGAGGTACAGCAGATAGTGGGTCTAACTGTACTAGTGACCCACTACCACACAGGGACATCCAGACCCCAGCTACCTAAATCCAAGCTGCTCCTCTCCCTTTATCCATACTTCCCATTAATAATCATGCATTTCTCTGTTGGCTATCATGAGTCTATCATGCATTTTTAATTGGTTACTTTATCCATCAATTAAACATGGATGTAGGCGCCAACCATTAGCCAGTCACTAATGGTTTTCCATTAATTCTATAACTCTTTACACCTAGATTTGAAAAAAAATCATACAGCCTCATGTAAACTGCTTTCTGCCCTGTTATATACTTCTCTCTTCTACCTAACTTCCTACCAAACACATCTGAAGGCTCTTGGGAGGGCAGCTCACCAACTGAATGATCAGACAGTGTCTCTCCTTGTGGGCATCCCAGCTAGAAATGTTTCAGAAAGAAGGGCTTTGCAAAGACAGTGACAAGTCATGAGTGGTGCTAACAAGGGTTCTGCCTCATATTTTATATATACAGTAGGTATTTTTATATATATTATTTAGAGGGAATATAAAGTAGAAACTCTTAACTCTGGGTCCCTAAGACAAAGAGACTATGTGCAGAGAAGTTGGTGGAAGAGACAGAGTGGCCACACTGGCCTTTTGCACCACTCAGGCTTTTTAATGTGAGCTATTTGATACTTATCACATGCTCTGGCACAAGTATGGTATCTCTGTTTGGGATCCTATCCTCTGGAAGAGACTTTCTGGGCAGGAGATTATACAGATGCCTCTTCTGTTTTCATGTTGGGGTATATATAGAAATAGTGAAATTTAAATTGATCTGAAATTTATATTTTTAAGGAAACCTAACCCCTTGCTGTGAGGCTATTCTCAAATCTAAGCTCATTATTGTCAAAAACCTCCATTCATCCACTCCAGAGGCCCAAATTAAATCAGTAAACTCAGCTGGTTTGGCCTAGAGAGTATATGTAGTTGTCAACATTCATAAGGAATCTAAACCCAAATTAATATCCTACAGGGAAATTAATATGCTGTTGAATTTTCAGGCTCGATGAGATAAGTTCCAAGACTCCGTAAATAGTTTCTACTCAATGTGACAAAACACATATAACAGAGGAAAATGAGTTCATAGTGAAGTGACAGAGCCTTTCCTTTGCCAAGAAGGCTGGCTGTTCCTTATCTGAGGCTGTAGAGGCTCTTCAGACACCACGAAAACATTGATACATGAATTATCTAATCCTCTGTATTCACTTATTTTCCCATTCATGAATGGACTTTAAACACGTTTTAGTTTTTCTTTGTACATTTAAATGAAAATACATACATAATGAGGAAATAAGCTCTTGGAGCTGCACTTGGATATTTTTAATGCTTCTCCACCACTGTGTTGAGCCATTTGGCTCAGGTATGACATAGAAACTCCAGAGGAGAAACCCCCGAAACCTCAGCTTTGCAGCCAGATGCTCCGGCAGCTAAAGGCTGCCCAAAGGAATTTAAGCCCATGTCCGTGAGTCTAACGGATGGGCAGGAATGTGAAATGTGAGCTTCAGGGGCTGCTTTTCAACTGGATATTCATGGCAGCGTCATAGGATTTGTCTTCTCTAGCCTGATGATTGTAAAACCTGAGAAGAAGCTATTGGGGACATCTAGACTTCAACATCTTTGTCCTTCTCAGTATTCTCTGGTGTTAGTTGTTCCAAAAGTAACGCCTGCCTTAGCCTCCATAGTCACAAAAAAACCCCAACCAGGAATAAAAGACAAGGTCATACATGAAGGGAATTCAAATACAAATGTCTGTAATTAGGAGTAGGAAATATCTTGAGGAATTCACCCAGTGCTAAAATGGGCACAAAGGATTACTGGTCTGGGTTAGAAGATCATCTCTCGATGAGAAAGTTCTTTTGAACTACACTATAATGGCTTGTTCTTTTGAGCTACATACTATGATGTTTGCAACCAGTGAGATTTCTGGAGTAACGCTGGTTTCCTGACTCATCCCAAAGCTCTTTGGAGGAGAAATACCAAAAGATGCCCCAGTCTAACCTGTAAAATATTGGACTCATTCTTGACATTTTTCTTTGTGTGTATGTGTGTACTTGCTCAGGTCTTGTCATTTTGCACCAGATTGTATTTAGAATAGTCTCATAACCATTACTTCACACTTAAGCTTTCCTGATTCCTCTGGGAGTTTAAATGTTTCTGGAGAGGAATTACATCTCTAGATCACTTTGAAGTTTGCTGCCAAGCTCTACCCAGTAATACAAGTCTTGATAGAAAGAAATCTAGAAGAGTGATCTCTCTCATGGGCTGTTGCTGTGTTAGCATCCAAGGACTTCTTCTACTGTTATGCTACAGACAGAGCTAAAGGTTTGCCTCCAATGTGCTGCTGAGGATGCTTGGCAAAGGGAAGAATTGAATTCAAAGCCTTCTGAGAAACTTGGGCTTATTTCCTCTGTCTGGCACGTTTCTGACAGATGCTTATTTTACTGAGGAACAACCAAAATATCAGTTACCACTGATTCCTTAACATTTGAAGCAAGCAAAAGCTGAGATGTGGTCTGAAGAGGTACACATTAGTGCACAGACACCTCCATCTATCTACCCAAGATGATTTGTACCCAGGTTGCCAGCATCTTGGAGGTATTTGAAACCCAACCAGACAAGGTCCTGATCCTCTTGTAGCTGACCCTGCTTTGAGCAGGGAGTTTGGACTAGACTATCTCTATACCAGTGCATTTATAGTTATCATTTTGGTAGCACAAAACAATAGATAAACATTCACTGGTTTGCCTTTGGAGAGGACTTTAATCTGAACATTACAGGAGTATCTCTTTAATGTGTACCATAAAGGTGCAGGGTGCATTCTTTAAAGAGGTCTTGAAACTGCAGTTTTTCTTGGTTCCTGATCTTTGATGAGAAATGCTTTAAATGAGGACATTCTAGTGATATCCATATATGCATAGAGCTCATTTTCAGGCCTTTAAAGCTCTGTTTGGATTGAAGTTTTATCATCAGAAATGAAAATAAATGTGTACCTCATTTACATGCATGCTGAAAACATTTAATTTCGTGAGATGATCTATCTCCCAACTGCAGGGAAAATAGACAGTGGAAAAAGAAAATGGAAAGTCCCCATCAGCAGAGCTTTTTAATGAAATAGGGCTGATGGCTGCCAGTAAAACATTGCCATTGTGGAAGCCTTATAAACTCAGAAGGTTTTAGAAGAGCAGCCTTTATTCTCAAAATGAGAAATCAAAGGCTGCAGAATAACAGCAGTGCTATTTCCTTGGCAAAAAAGTAAGCAACTGTCTTCTCTCTATATTGGTTTGTGCTATTGTATTTGACACGAAGATGTGAAAGCTCCATTACTGACAGATTTGTAGAGCGCTGAGGTCAGGGTGATCAGGAGAGCCTGATTATCTTCATTCTTAAGTTCTTCTTGGGATGTTGACCTTGCACTTGCTCCTTTTTCCTAATGGTTTCTCATGACAACTGTCACAACACAGTGGTCTAGATTGAATGAGGTGAAAATGTGTTATCACTGTAAAGGAATGACTGCAGATTTTTGCCAGCCCTTTGCATCAGATCTCCCACCTTCCTGTCTAAGGAAGCATTCTCATTATGCAGTCAGGGCTGTCAGCACATGGGTTTTTCCCACAGCAAAGAAAACAGGGTTTCTCCAATCTCCTACCTGCAGACTTCAATTGCAGGAGGTTGTCTCCTACTTCAATTGCAGGAGGTTGTCTCACCTTCATCCCTTGGAGGAGATAGATTGGGGAAAGGCTTTGCAAGACTGGTCATAGGCAGGTGAGCTTGTTTACTCCTTTTATCATGTCAAGAGGAGCAGAATGAAATCCTTACCCCTGATTAAAACCTCTCTCTGGGTTCATCAGCCGAGTGCCAGCTTCCAAATCCAGTAAGCATATGCTTGAAGGTCCAGTGTGGGTGGTAAGCTTGGAGAAAGAGGCAAAAATATATGTATGTACGAAGGGTTAAGATAAGTAAAAACACTACCTTTGCATGATAAATAGCTGGCTTGGATACAGGCTATGTACAACAGCATAGTTAATTTAGCCTGCTTGCCAATTGCCCAAATATCTTTACATTGGACTTCAGTGAGAAGTTCAAATATGCTCAGTAAAGTCGGATTGCTTCACAGCCTTGTTAGCTTGGTGAGGGAGAAGCAGGAGGATCCCACGGTGTTTTAGGGCTCCTCAGAGTCATTATCTGACTCTCGGATACAAGAAGCTGTCCTGCTGCTGGTTTCACTCCTGCCATGGCACTGCAGGCAAAATCCAGCTTGGAGGGCAGTGCCAGTGTTATCTGTCATAATGTGTGAGCTGGAGGACCCAGGATGGGGCTGGGTTTGTTGGGCAAGCAATTAAAACTCTCATCTTCCTCATTAAAGCAGCAGATCATTTATGGAAATAATTGGCCCACTGTTTATACACACACAGAGCATCACACTGGCTCCATCTATGCTTGCAGGAGAGAGGTGTGTGGCTGCTCATGCAGAGCCCAAAAAGCTGCCAGATGAGACACTGCAGGGAATGAAGCACAATTTATGAATTATTATTGTTCCCGGATGAATTTTAACGAGAGTTTCATGCCCTTTTCCACCAGTTTCTGGAAGGAAAACCACACACCTCTGCTGTTTACCCAGCCACTTACACATTACTCCACCTATGAGGGGAAACACTAGTCGATGCTCATTATCCCTTTTCTGGAATATGAGTCTAATTCTAAGCATATTGTTCCATTACTGAACAATTTAATCATGCCTCAGAAATGGCATTAGATGCAGAATTGGATTCCAAATTCCTTTGAGATTTGGAAGGAAATCCACTAAGAACAGCAAACATGGGGCTGTCACTTGCTGTGTTTCATGTCTCAGACCAGCTTTACAGTGCAGGCAAAGCCCAGGAGAAAAGGAAAGCTGATTTTCATCCAAAGCAAGTGGTCCCAGAGTGTAAATTAGATTCATGAAAAAGGTAAGGAAGGAATTGGATAGAAGATGGTACAGGCTTTGTTTGGTTTCATTTACATCAGAGTGAAATACAGTGGTGGTTTTGTCTTCAGCCCTCTGAGAGAACAGGCTGAATTTGTACATATTTTTAGCTTTCTTGTCTAAAACCAAAAAAGACATTTTAAAAAGCTCTAGAAAAAGTCCAGTTCAGAGGCCAAAAACCTCCCAGGTCCTTTTGTATTCTTTCTTTTTGCCAAGATCCTCCACAAAGAACAAAGACTTTCCATTATAGAAACAAAGAAAAGTTTAGTAATAACCTGGTTTTCAACTACATGGCAATTCTGAGTTTATTTAATGAGCAGTACTACACCAGTCTCACTGGGAGCCGGTGTGGTCATGGGCTGACGAGGATGCTTCATGGGGCAAGAGGAAATATCAGAAAGGCATTTTTTCCCCTTCTTTTGCATATGAATTAATGGAGGATCACCTAAAGAAATAAAGGTTCCTTTGCCTTCTGCAGCTTGAGGGACCCCACTGGATCATCCCCATGTGTTTATCTCGCTGCTGGTGAGGAAGAGGAAGGTGTGACCCCCTTGTACCCTGTCACTGCGTGGCTGCTGTCAGGGCACATCTGAGCACTGATGCAGCAGAGCCGGACCGAGGGAGTCTGCTGGCTGCTGGGCGAGTGGCTGCAGGCTGGTTGGGCTCCAGCCGGGAGGGCTGGGCACACCAGAGAGCTTCTATCTACATCAGCCTGAATAATTAATCTCAAGTTTTGAGCAGAAGCTCTCCCTCCCCTGCTCAGCTCCCCCTTTGTTTAGCAGCTTTGCTGTTTGCGACTCTGCATCACACAACAGGCTGCTTCCTTCCTCCATATCCCCATATCCATATCCTCTGCTTGAATGGGTGTGTGAGATGGTTCCCAATTCCCTCTCTGCTTTTTGGATGCTCTTTTCTCTGTTCCTGTAGCTGAACCTGAGGGCATTGCTCTACAAACAGATTCCACCTGCCTTGGTTTTGGTTGGGATTTCAACCTTTCAGACATTAGCTCATGATGACAAGAATCACTGCTTTATCCACACCTCACCTACATCTTTATGCTCCTGAACCTGGGTATTTGATCTGGGTTGTGACTGTCCAAGTTTGTGACCATCCATCTTCTGTCTGCAAGTAGAAATCAAGGGAGGACAAGTGTCAGGTTCAGTGGTTAATGTGTAGTAGCAGACATGGGTGTGAGGAAGGAGCAGAACTGTGGCTGGTGATGCTGAGACAGGTGGAGGCCAATCCCATTCCCAGAGTTTCTTAGTCTCCCTCCTTTTCCCAACATCATTACAGCTCGGGTGTAGCATTCCTTAGTGGTCTTCCTTCCCCCGAGTCCCCAGTGCACTCACCTCTCCTTGATCTCCTCGCTTGTTTGCCAGCCCCCATGATGAGCTGGAAGGAGCCGGTGTCACGGCACAGTGGTGTGGGAAATGAGTGCGCTGATCAGCTGGGAGAATACAAACAAACAAACAAAGCTGTTGATGCATTAGCTCTTTCGCTGGCTGGGAAGTGGATTTCTGATACAAAATCCTGGGTTGTGAGCCATTTCTCTTACACCAGCACACAGACTCCACCTGAGAGTCCCTGTAAGAAGACACCATAAAAGACAGCTCTCTTCCTGACCGGGAAATCAAGAGATTAACGTTCATTATTCCCATTAATAGGATGCTCTTGCTGTTTTCCATGTAAGACACCAAATGATTACCAAACACTTCATTTAGAGCAGCTGTCACAATTAATTCTGCAGAGCCCACAGCCACATTACCTGATAGTGGTTCCTCCCTCCTCTCTAAAGCAAACTCAACCCTTTCCAGGGCATTTATGGAACACCTTTGAGGAAAACTTGTGTATGTTCCCATCGAGGACCTGACTTACTCAGAGTGAGGGCTGACATTTGCATGCAAATGGCATAAGCCAGCAGAGTTCAAAACCCACTGGATGGAGCAGATTGATCCAGTGTTGGTACATGATGTGCCTCTTGCATCTTTCGGGTGTTCCAAGTGTGTTTTTGGCAACCAGGCACTAAATATCCCATTTCTTTAACAGAGTTGACGTGTCTCAGAGAAGTCGGTTTTTATCTTCTATTTCTCCCCAGTGCTGATGGTGACTTCGCAGTCACTCACCTGACCAAGGCCCACCTCTTCTATGATGGGAGAATTAAATGGATGCCTCCTGCTATCTATAAAAGCTCCTGCAGCATCGATGTTACCTTCTTCCCCTTTGACCAGCAAAACTGCACGATGAAGTTTGGCTCCTGGACCTATGACAAAGCCAAGATAGACTTGGTGAGCATGCACAGTCATGTGGACCAGCTGGACTACTGGGAGAGTGGCGAATGGGTCATCATCAACGCTGTGGGCAATTACAACAGCAAGAAATATGAGTGCTGCACAGAGATCTACCCCGATATAACTTACTCCTTCATTATCCGGAGGCTGCCACTGTTCTACACCATCAATCTGATCATCCCCTGCCTGCTGATCTCCTGCCTGACTGTCCTGGTCTTCTACCTGCCCTCTGAGTGTGGAGAGAAGATAACCTTGTGCATCTCTGTGCTGCTGTCCCTCACTGTCTTCCTGCTGCTCATCACAGAGATCATCCCATCTACCTCCTTGGTCATCCCTCTGATTGGGGAGTATCTTCTCTTCACTATGATATTTGTTACCTTGTCTATCATCATCACTGTCTTTGTGCTCAACGTGCACCATCGCTCCCCGCGCACCCACACGATGCCTGACTGGGTGAGGAGGATCTTCCTTGACATAGTCCCGCGCCTCCTCTTCATGAAACGTCCCTCCACAGTGAAAGACAATTGCAAGAAGCTCATTGAATCCATGCACAAAATAAGCAACACACCAAGGCTTTGGTCCGAGATCGACGTGGATCCCAACTTCACTACCTCATCTTCTCCCAGCCCCCAGAGTAATGAGCCATCACCCACCTCTTCCTTCTGTGCCCATCTCAAGGAGCCAGCCAAGCCTCAGCCTATGTGCAAGTCCCCTTCTGGGCAGTACTCTGTGATGCACCCAGAGCCTGTAGAGGTGACCTGCTCCTCCCCACAACCCTCCTGCCACCCCCTGAGTGACACCCAGACCACGTCCGTCTTGAAAGGCAGATCACTGAGCGTTCAGCAGATGTACAGCCCCAATAAGGCAGAGGAAGGGAGTATCCGCTGTAGGTCGCGGAGCATCCAGTATTGCTACCTGCAGGAGGACTCTTCCCAGACCAACGGCCAATCCACTGGCTCTCCAGCATCCCAGCGGTGCCACCTAAATGAAAAGAAGCCCCAGCACAAGCCCCCTCAGTGCAAGTGTAAATGCAGAAAGAGCGAGGCAGCTGGCACACCAGCTCAAGGAGGCAAGACTCACGGCACCAAAGAGCAGCACCTCGTGTTGATGTCCCCTGCCCTGAAGCTGGCAGTGGAAGGGGTTCACTACATCGCAGACCACCTGCGAGCAGAAGACGCAGATTTCTCAGTAAGTGTGATTGATTGATTCTGGTTGGAGCTAAGGAAGAAGCTCTTCCCTGTGAGGGTGCCGAGGCACTGCAACAGGTTGCCCAAAGAAGTGGTAAATGCCCCATCCCTGGCAGTGGTCAAGGCCAGGTTGGACAGAGCCTTGAACACCCTGCTCTAGTGGAAGGCATCCCTGCCCATGGCAGGGGTTGGAACTGAATGATATTAAGGTCTTTTCCAACCCAAACCATTCTGTGCTAACTTAGCCTGCTTTCCTTGGGTAAGTAAGTCAAAAATTAGCCGCTAAGGAAGCCCCACTGAATCTGAGGGCTCTATGGAGAGCATACTTGCTGATGGCAGGCTCAGCCACCCCTGATATTGTGGCTTTTGAACACACTGGACACTATAAGCACAGCTGGAGAGTTTGTCCTTGGGGTGTTAGCAAGCACATGAAGTAGGAGGGTAGCAGATCATGTTCAATGCTGCTCTAGAACAATAGGATTTTCCTACAGAAAATAGGAATAAAGTGGTTGTTCGGTGGAAAGGAAGCAGCTATGATGTGAACGAGACCTAAAAAGCAGTCGTCTGGTGGGAACTCAGCAGACTTACTCTTTATCAAGAAGCCTCTGGCAGATGGGGAATTCACACTCTGTTTTTCATTAAGCATTGACTCTGGTTACAGAGCCTAGGAAAGCAAATTCCCAAAACAGGATGTGGGAAGCCCGTAGTAGCATGGGGACATTGCAGGGTATGTTTAGCTCTGCGTGATGCCATTCCTCATTAGTGGACTTCCGCTGGAGCAGTTGGCTCGTGCAGGAAGGTGGGTGGACAGACAAATTTCACGCTTACTCCAGGGGGGGTAAATATGGCTACAAATAGAGAAGGAAAATAGAGGCTGGAAGGATTTCTTTTCATGGACACAGTGATGCACATACAAATGCCACATCCTTTCACACCTCCCCTGCAATACTATGCATACAGTGTGCTATCTAATGATGGCCATAAAGAAGGAAACCTCAAAATAACCTGAAGTTAGTGTTCTTCCTAAAGGGAAGTCTTATGTAGCTTTTCCTAGAGGGATCTGTCAGCAAAAGGTACTTTTTCAGCTGTGCTTACAGTTTGATTTTCTCACCATTCAGAGTCAGTGCAAGTCATAGTGCTTTTATGCAAGACTTCCTGGGCATGAAGAGTATCTTTCTATTTGCATTTTTCACAGCACTGAGCACTCAGCAGCAGCAACAAAAGATTAAATGCTACTGTCCATTTATATACTCTTTGGTATATAGTTGGAGAGGCTTCTGTCCTTTAATGTATTTCACTCCACAACATCCCTCTGAGGAAGTAACTGGTTCTTCCTCATCTTGAGGAGTGACAGCCAAAATACAGAGATGAGATGACCTGTTCAAGGTCATAGCACAAATCTGTGGCAGGGATGGGCTGGGAATCCACGTCTTCATTAGCTGACAGCTCCAGCGCGCTGTGTTGGGCTAAAGCATTTCACCAGCACGTTAGGGCTGCAGGAATTCAACTCTGCTCTCTCCTCCTAACAATAATCACAAGTAAACCCATGGAAGCCAGTTGATTTTAACTCATTTGTTTTCCTATGGTGCAAATGAAAGAATATTACACCCATAATACTTCCCATTTCAACTGATTCTCTTTAAGCAAAGCTTGTTGGTAATCATCAAGAGTCATTGAATATCTTGGGTTCTTTCCTTTTAGTCCATGATTACAATTTTCTTTAAAATGAATGCAGTCTTCAGAAGCCAAGAATTTTCTGCTTCTACTTTGCTTCTTCTACTACTCTTTCCTCTTGAAATGAAGCCATTATCCTGAAGAGAAAGCTATTTACAGCACCAGACATCAAAAGCAGAAGAAAAGGAGATGCTTTGAGGGCTCTGAGCAGAACGCCAGCTTGTGAGCAAAGGCACCAGGAAAGCATCCAGCAGTGAGCAGAGAAGGGTCACCCTGATGCACCAGGTTCCCCAGGGAGAGCCTGCAAACCTGCCCACAGCTTTCTGTTCTCTCCCACCAGTTGTGCTTGTCACAGTGGGCAGAAGTTGGGTTTTCAGACTTGGCACCCCCGTTTTCTTTTTCCAGATCCAAATAATACCAAGTGGGAAAGCCCTTTTTTTTTCTGCAGGTGGAAATGACAAAGAAGCAGGAAACACAATGACCTGGAATCTAAATTTACTGCAAGGAGCAGAACGGATCTAATAAAATGAGAATTTATTGGGAGTTAAAAAATCAGCACTCAGAAATGTGCTTTCATCTTAAAATCAAATTGTGGCATTTCTTCATGGATGCCTTCAACAAAGCTATCAGCAGACACCTCTGATGCAGCTGCAGCCCTGAGACACCGCTCACTGTCTCTTGGGTAATGTTTTCAGAGCCATGCACCTTCCCCGAATGAGAAGAGAGCTTCTTTTGATGTTCCTGTCTCTTTCTACTAAAGCACCATTGCCACGGGGCCAGTGCTTCTGAATTAAAAGTAAATAGCTCATTTAATTAAGTGCTTCAGCAAAGGGAAACTGGGCAATGCAAGAGGCAGTTGTTTGTTACAAAAAGATATCTGCAAACAAATGCCAGCACAATGGTACACAGGGGAAAATGCAAGACCAGATTGTCCCAGCAAATGATAGAAATGCCATTAGAAATTAATTACAGATTGAGAAGCAAAACAAGTTGCATGTCTCACACAAGCCAGAATAACCAAACAAACACCACCAGCATTGTCTGGAAAGCTGCCTTGTCCTCACGCCTGTGCGCATCTCTGGACTAAGAAGAAGACTTTGAGGATAGCTTAAAAATAAAATGGGAGAGAATATAGCTGAGGGGGAGGAAATATGGGATAATCTCACCGGTTTATTTTTAACAAAGCACAGTAAAACCCCCTGGGACTGCTCTAATCTGTGTTGCTCTGGGTCTTGAGGATCAGATGTCACCAAGGCACCCGAACCCTCCGCTCAAACCCAGGGGCAGGATGCCCCATTCCCCCTGCTCAGCCCTGAAAGGAGCTGAACCAGGGAAAAGCAGCAGATTCCCTCACTTTTGGGGAATTTGTGGCTGGGGAGTCAGCTGTTCCTGCCCCCGATCCTGTCCCAAATATAGTTTTGAGTGAGCTTCTTAGAAACTAATCAAAATCCAGCTCAGGAGTTGGGCTGGCAGATGTTGACGGCCGCATGGATGCTGGCAGAGACGTCCCTGCGGATCATGCTCCACGTGAGGTGCTGGACCATGGGGAAAGGCTGCAGCCCTGACAGGAAGCAAAACACATCACAGATATCCAGATAATGGTCTTTTCCTCCTCCTCTTTGGTTCTCTTTCATTATCTCTCCATAATTTCCAATTTCACCCTTCTGTGCTCTCGGTCTGAAGCTGGATATTGATTTTGTAAACATTTGATGAGCTCCTAAATGTCATTTTCAAGGTAGGCTGGGAATTTCTGCATACACCATTATAGGTGAAAGCAAATTCCTCTTGAACTTTTCAAGCTGTTCCTCTTCTCTCATTCCCCCTTTCTTTTCTCAAAGAGAAACTCAGCTAGTTTTGCTTCTTTGTATGATCTACGCTTGTTTTTACTAGCACAGATAGATACTCAGAAAAGCTTATTTTGCCAGAACGGGGCACTATTTGCACAACCCAGCTTCCCAGTTGAACATCAGATGATAAATCTGATTTTCTTTACACATTGGGTGCATCATGAAATACTAATTCCATAAATACAATCACCCAGAGCTTGTTTAGCAGCCCTTCTCATGAGGGGTTTTAAGCATCAGAGACTCACTCCAGCTTTCAGCAAGTGATGAATAGATCAGAAAATACAAACAGCAAAGGGGAATTAGGCACTCGAAGCCTTGTCCTTGGGATGAGAGAATTCCTTTTGATTTCAAGGGTGACTATTTCTTTTACTCACACCATTAGAGATGGATTTGCTAAGGGCTGTACAATCATAAAACAACATGGTTTTCTCCAAGAAGATAACAAGCTTCAGGATGAAGCTCTATTTCTTTACCGCTGCCTGCTGAATAGCAAAGACCTGCTTAACTTGGCTCTGGTTTTCAAGGGAATAAAATAATCCATTGCATGAATATATTTAACTGATTCCCACACTTCTGGAAACGTTCAGGTATTCCTGAAATTTAAGGTGATTTGTTCAGAAAACAAATTAGGGAAAACATGATACGCTTTCCAGTGCAGGCTTCATTTCCCAATTTACAAAGCTGCTTACAGAGCCAAGGAGCTGGAGCAATCCCAGGTGATTTAAAGGCTCAGCCAAGCAGTCCACATGTCAAGTAATGAGAGGTGTAGTTAAAGAGCTCATTCTGCTGGCCTTGCTTCAGCTGCACGTTGTCTGCATTGAGGCACAGAGTGATGACAGGCACTTTGCAAATACATTGGAAGATTGATGATGAGTTTGTGAAAGGTTCAGCACACCAAAATGAGGTAAACACACTTACCTTACCTGCAAGCAGTAATTCTCTTTGCTTCATAAAATGTCACAACATTGGTCCTGGAAGCCAGGGTTGTATATTCTCTCCCTTTGACACATCGTGGTTTCTCTATACAAGATATAAGATAACATTTAGTTGTGCATCCATGACTGACAAAGAGAAGACTCGGGTGAGTTTACAGAGCCCCTGTGTTGTGCTCAGAGCTTTCTTGTTTGGTGCTTGACAAATTATAATATTATAGGAGCTGGATTTGACATGATACCCGTGAAAACATCATCAGCTGCAAATGCCTACTTCATTGATACCTGGATTGCTTCCTTTACCAGAATGAATTTTCAGCATAATCAGCACATAGAATGGGTAGGGTTGGAAAGGACCTTAAGATCATCTAGTTCCGATACTACATCATCCGAAAAACAAACAAAAATCAAGCCAGGTCTCCCACAAATCATGTTTTACCTCATACCTGCTGACCTGGGCTACTGATTTGTTATTATCTCTGTTTGAAATGAACCTAGAGCCTGTGGATGAAAAAGCCTGTACCATTATTACTGTGCCATTCTTTCACTTGTGCTGCAGCTCTAGGCAGGGTGAAGCCGCTTTTCTTTCAGGGTCATGGGCTGGTAGGTGCAGTAAAGCAGCCCCTGCTTTGGCTTTGCTGTCCCCTTCTTACACTACACTCCTCACTTGCTGCAGTCACAGCCACTGAAGAGGCTTGAGCCAGCTCCTGTTGAGATGTTCTCCCTAAAGAGCAAGGCAGCGTGCCAAACTTCAGCCCTCGGTTCTATTAATCACCAAGTGGCAGCTATAATGGGTACAGCCATATCAAAAAACCCCTTTGCCATCTGATCAGTCCTCTTCCTGAGAAAGAGATTAATAACAGCAGTGTAATGAAAGAGGTTTTCATATGTATGCGGTTTCTTGCTTGATGAAATAGCCATTTACAATTCTTGCCTGATGGTATTAATAAGCACTAGACCTCCCCAGAGGGGAATTGCTGGAAAATCCTCCCACAGCAAGACAAAGTGGCTAAAAAGCAGTGTGAGGATGACCTCTTCTTTTATTTGCTGGTTCTTTTTCCCTACTTACTCACCCAAAGCTGTAAATCCCTTCGCCGAAAGAGTTTGGGTCCATTAATCTGTAAACAAATCTATTTAGGAGCATCGGGAAATGCAGTGATTTCTTTCCCCCTTCACCCCACCCTCCCCAGCTTGAATCTCAGCCTCATTCACACACCCAGTTACAGCTGCTGCTCATGGAAAATGGGATTGTGAGTGTGCAGACGAGCTTGATAATCCACGAGTGTATGTCATCCCTGGGGAGCTGTGAGCAGGGTTTGCAATTGCACATGCACACCCACACAGCCTGGGAATCTGTATCCCATATCAGTGATTGATGGAATAAGTCCTTGCTATCATATGGGAACACTAAATGTGGGACATTCTGCCCTATCTCTGGACTTCAATGAAAATATCCTATTTTGGAATTAAGCCCTGAAAGTCTTTAATCTCAAATCAATGTTAATAATCAACCTTTGATCTCTGTATCTGCAGGTGAAGGAAGACTGGAAGTATGTTGCAATGGTCATTGACAGGATCTTCCTTTGGATGTTCATCATTGTGTGTTTGCTGGGAACTGTCGGTCTCTTTCTCCCACCGTGGCTGGCAGGAATGATCTAAATATAACCCCAGATGGAAGAAAGTGTATCCCATTCTATGGATTTTAGTTACCTGGAAGGAGAGGAGCAGAGAAATGGAGGCAGCCCTTTGAATAATTCACTGCGTGTCCGCGCTTGAGTTGCTCCAGAGCTCTCTGGGAGGACTTTCCGAGGTCACATCATTTTGCCAAGACATTTTCATCTCCTCCATCTAATTTAGGGGAAAAATTCTTATTAAAGTCTGTATATAGCATGGTGGCATTTATTGGCATATAGTCAGCAATGTAAGAACACAAGCTTGTTCCCTAAAGCAGCACATAAAGAGGCTTCACATCGACAAACCAGCTCCTGGCAAATTAGCTCCAGTCATCTTCAGAGGTCTCAGTGTGCCCTGCCCAGTAATTTTGCCCTATGAAGCTGATTCAGGACTGTGTGTCCCTGTATGAGTCATTTTATAAATAAAGTTCCAGGTTTGGGATACCTGTGCGGGATGTGGTCTGTGGTCAGCTGGGAAAGAGACAGACTGGAACGGCTGAAAGAAGTGCTAGAAACAGATCAACCCCATTGGGACCAACAGTGAGCGTTACTACAGGAGTTGCAGGCTTTATATTGACAGATTTTACTTTGGCCAATGCCCTGCAGAAGCCGTGGGGACTATATCTGAGTGAGGATTGTGCAAACAAAAGGAGGGTTTGGTGTTAAGATTCAGACCATGTTGGGAGCACTTTAGTGCTAGGAAATTTCCTACATCCAAGTTATGGCTGCTGCAAAATAGCAGAAACTCACCCCTTGCAGTAGGTGGGGAATGTACTTAGACGGGGTAAAGCCACAACAAAAAACCCAGCTGGTGTGAGCATAATAAGGAAACATGCCATTATATGGGGAAACCTGAACACAACACACAGCCAACACCTGGGAATTCAGAATGGCCCTTGCCAGAAGTTATAGGTATTATGGCCTTAAATTTGGCCAGTTGTTCCAGCTCCTCTTCCCAGCTCTACCCAAATTAAACCAACACTTTTGCACATCTTGTCTTTGCTTTGGGGCCTGCAGCAGGAAGACAGAGACAGGCCACACGAGCCAGAGGGAGAGGAGGATGCTGGAGCCCTGTCCTAGTGCAGAGAGACATCAGTGCATAATGGTACAGCTGAGCCAGATGTGTAGGAGAAAGGCTGGAAGACAAAGGGTGAGTGTCGGCTTCATCCACCTTCTGCCTGTTTTCTGTCTGCATTTACAACCACAGGAGAGTGACCACATTGGAACAGACCTGAAGTCAACCCATGCCCTCTGTTTAGTACTTACAAACCCACCATTCCCATCCTCATTACTGGGTGCCAAGTTGGAACAGCCCAGCATCACCCAGCCCAGCATCTCCCTGCTTACTTTGGAGATCTCATAGGCAAAAGAGGTTATAAACATTTGACCGCAGTGTGCAAGCAAAGGTAGATATATATATAGATACATATATATATAAATAAATACATGTATAAAGCCTATATACGTACAGGCTTCCCCTGGGAGCTTCCGTGACTGCATGACTCAAAGCCCAGGCTGAGAGCTGAGGGGCTTTAGGCTGTACCCAGCATGTAGCTGGTATCAGCACACATGAGACTGTTTGGCCACTGTGAAGTTTACTGCTAAGCCCAGAGCTCTAGAGAATGTACACAGAAGAGGTCAGTGTAGAGGAGGCCAGCACAGAGGTCCTGGTAGAAGCCAAAGACTAGGTAGGTGAGACTCCAGGTGAGATGTGCAGCACCCTTATGCAATAGCCTGGCACACGGGGCTTGATCATGCCACATGGCTCAGGGAGCAGCAGAGACCTGCACAGGCTCGTGGCAGTAATGCTGGAACAAACCCAATGTGGTTTAAAGAAGCTTCTTTGAAACACAAGTTACTGCACTCAGTCCAAACAGTACAAATCAATGCAGTGATCGGCCTGGCTGGCCTAAGAAGTACAACTGACCTCTGTGTTCCCAGGCTTAGACAAGTGTCTCAAATCTGTGCAGCTCACACAAAAACATAGAGGAGCTGTGGTTTGGGCTGGTTCCATGAAGAGCTGTGCTGGCACACAGGGAGGCAGCGTGAGGAAGCCAGAGCTGCTGCTCCTCGTTGCTTGTTTTCAGAATAAAGAGAGACTCAGTCTTCAGAGATGCTAATTTATCCCTTTTCACAGTCAGTGAGTTTGCTGATGGCAGTGAAAGGAAAACAAACAGTCAAACATCTTCAAGGTCTAGTGCATAAATGTACCAAGGCAGCTGCAGTCTGTGTTACAGGGCTGCACACCACAGCGGGGCTGCATTATGGTCTGTGTTGCAGACAGGTTTCAGCAGCAGCTCAAGTCTCTGTTCTTGACTCCCAGCAAACATGGGCTTGGGCAGCAGTGGAGTGATGGCCAAAGAAGACCAGGAATGGGCACCCACAGAGAAGTGGCAGTACAGCAAGAGCTGCAGTTGGGCCCATGCCTTGCAGAAGAGAATGATTTGGGGGGTAGCAGAAGGTTTAAGGATAGATTTAAGAGTCAAGTGTATAAGGTGACACACTGGGCAATTGAGTAGGGCTGTGCTTTGTTCAAAGGAAAGGGCATGTCTTAAATCTTCACCTTTTCTGCGTAAAGTTATTGCTGGTGTGAAATGCAGCATCTCAAGGGGAGCAGAGCAGCATGCCCTGGCAAGGATGTGAAACTGCAGAGTTGCCCTGACACCCCGGAGGAGGAGGAGAAGGGAGCCACACGCATCTGCTCCATTAGCACATCAGAAACAGCAGGTGTGACTGGGAGTGCTAAGGATGTGGTTGTGTCCCTGAAGAGTCAGCGCCTCTGTGGGATCACAGGGTTTGGCAGGATAAAGATGGGAACTGACAGCTCAAACCAGTTGCAAAGTCACTACAGGCATTTTGGGAGAAGCTTGGGTAGTGCAGGTCACCGGCATCCTCTGCTGTGCACTATGTCAGTGCTAACATCATAATGCTTTTCATACAGAGGAAACTCCACTTCTTCTCATATGGTATTAATAGTTCCACGGTTTAAAGTTGAAATAAAGTCCTACCTTCTGCTTCTGATGTGCCTCCTTGTAAAATCTGAGGGGAGAAATTAGGAACCAACACCTACCGCTCTTTCTTAGCCAGGTTATTCCATCTTGGACGTTGTTAAGAAGGATGCTATCCCTCCATAGGATTCGGTGATGAGAAACTGGAATAAAACTGGGACATGAACAATATAACTGTAGAATAATGAATAATTCTGCTATTCCAAACCCATGACACACAAAGAGAATTGTTTTAGCATATGAAAGACTCCAGGAAAATGTATGCAGCAGCACTGTTAACGTTTGCAGAGTTCCCAGCTCAGAACTGATTCCCAGGACTTGACTGAACAAGCTGACATCAGAAGAAGGGTGAGGAAACAAGACTGGGATACAGCAGGAACTCTAAAACTGTCTTGAAAAGACCCAGAGCAAAGTAACTGGGTTTTAAGGATCTGAGAATGCAAATCTCAGAGACCCTAAAGGCATTACAGAAAGCAGACATAGGTGCTGATCTTTTCTGTTTTACTTGGGAAGGAGGGATCGTATCCTCATCACAGTGTTTCATCCCCACCAGTACAGTTCTATTGGCCATGAATAGAAGAAGACCAAAGGCACAGAAACCTGGCTGTAATAACCTCACCCACCACCATTTTCCTGTTCTTCCCTACATCCTCTATCCTCTGGCTCCCTAATGCTCCCTTTGCCTGGGTTATCTTCCCGGCCATAGGGTACGCAGGGTATTTTCCCTGCAGCTGGCTGATAGGATGACCCCTGTAATCCCCGTTTCCCCAGTATTTTCAGGCCTGTTTTCCACCACATCCTCTCATTCTCCAGTGAGCTGATCTGCATAGCTTTTATCACCTCTCTGTTGGATAAGTTGTTCTGCAGACGTTTATCAAGAGACTGCACTCAAGGAAATACATAGAGATAGGATAATGCATGTATGAGATTTAAGATTCACACACAGGACTAAGGAAAATCCCCCTATAACAGCCCCACCTGCCCTGTGGGCTCTCCCCCACTGCAGTGATGTCCATTTATGACATTTGTTATACCCACTCAGGATGGGTTTTTTTGTTTCCAGCCCTTGAAATCTGGTCAAACCAAGCTGCAGAACCCTGCAGAAAGACTTTCCAGAGCTGCTTGTCAGCAGTGTTGCTGGTTAGTTGCTGTGCTTCTTGTATCTTCCTCTTGAGACCCATTTAGTTCTTTAAATTGATGTTTGCACCAAAGGAAAGAATCTATCTGAAATGTTCTCAGCCTCTGGCAGAATCCAGCTGAACCGGGTGGGTCAAACTGCAGAAGGGAGGAAAAAACCCCGAGACCCATTTAGTTCTTTAAATTGATGTTTGCACCAAAGGAAAGAGTCTATATCTGAAATGTTCTCAGCCTCTGGCAGAATCCAGCTGAACCGGGTGGGTCAAACTGCAGAAGGGAGGAAAAAACCCCAATTTTATCCCAATTTAAGGACTGGAGGACTGAAGTGTTAAAGAAATTGAAGATACAATGTCACATTACACACTGTGTGCAAAAGGAAGTCTCTATGACACAGATTACTTAAGGGCGGTCGTAAGAATGAGCAAATTAGGACAGAGGATTTGAATAGGGACTGAACAGAAGGGAAGATGAACAGGCATTCTGTCTGCCAAGGTGAAGAAATGGTAGGAACTTGTGGGAGTTCACAAGGACATGTTAAATTTGTGCTCTGAGGCTCATTCAGGTTTATCCAGAAAACAGGTTTAAACCCAGAAAAACTAACCTCCAAACTTCCACTTGTAGCAGTTAAAGCTTTGAGAACAAAGTCCCTACTAAGGAAAGATCTGCAGAAGAGCTTTTTAACCACATTGTTAGTGAACAACACTGTTCTTAACTACAGTTTGCATTAGAAGTGATAAACTGGGCCAGAAAAGCACGGAGAACGTTGAAGAACAGCACAAGAGGGAATACAATAGGTTGTGCTCAGCGAAAAGTGTGGGATATTAGTATTCACCATTGGTTTCTGTACTCACTGACAGAGGAGGGAGTTGCAGTTTGTGTTGGGCAGGGTTCTGCACCTCCATCTTTAGGGCTGCTGCGTTACTCCAGCTGCTGCAATCTTTTCCTTCTTGCTGTTTAATAGCATCCAACGTTCATTGCTGGATTAGCACACTCCCAGTGCCTAAAATCTGCCTGCAGAAATGCTCCTTGGCTTTAAGGAACTGGGTTACAAAGCACTTACACACAGGCTCTGCGATCGTAGGTGGGCTAAATGCCCATGACTTCAAGTAAGTAAAACCACTCCTGGGACAAAGTGTAGGAACATAAATGGACAAGTTGCTTGTGCTAATCAATAGCCCTTCTGGGACCCATTTTTGTTAAAGTCTGACCCTTCATGCTGTATCTGAAATAATCAGACAAAAGCAAAGCAAATGTCACTTGAAATGCTACCAAATAGATGAAATCCCAAGGCAGGCGG